GCTGTGAGAGTTTAGCAGATATTTCCTTTTGAGATGAAAGAAAACCAAATAGTCACATGAGTTTGAAAGAATAAAGACTATGTTGCTCATTCAGCAGTTTCCATAAAACCGAGAAAAATGTAACAGCAAAATTCCATCTTAATTTATGGTTGGAACTATTTATGTAAAGCCCGCTGTTTTTGTCCTGATATTGTTAAAACTTGTGACTGTCAGAACTGCTTTTAAGAATGAAAGTTTGTCCAGGTATCTGGTGAAGACCCAACTCCCCCTCTCCTCCTGCAGAAGAGTGGAGCCTGGAGACAATGGTGCACAGCAGTTACTTGTTGAATACAGTTATTAAAATGAAGACATAGTGTGATCAAGTAAAATGTACTTCTTATTCAATTTTACAAGCACTGCATAGAATTTCCATTATTGATTTGCATTTTATTTGTATATTTACAACCTATTTACTTGTGGATTTCTAGATTTCTTCCCCAACTCAATTTAGCCCCTGAGCACAGGGACTGGAGACTGAGTGGTAGACTTGCTGGATTCCTTATTACTAGGCTCTCCTACTACTGGGTTTCTTTGCTACTGGGCTCCCCACTGCTGGCTTCCCCTACTACTGTGTTCTCCCCTACTGGGCTCTCCGGTACTGGACTCTCCTACCTCTAGGCTCCCCATTACTGGGCTTCTTTGTTGCTGGGCTTCCCATTACTGGGCTTACCTACTATTAGGCTACCCACTACTAGGCTCCTCAACTGCTGGGCTCCCCACTACTAGGCTCCCCACTGCTGGGATCCCCTAGTACTGTACTCCTTACTACTGGGCTCCCCATTACTGGGCTCCTCTATTATAGCTGGCCAGGTGGCAACCCAGAGTGGATGCTTCAGAAACAATTCTTTTTGTTTCGTAAATAATCAGCCCCACATTCAAGAAATATCACCATGTTATATATGAGCAAATGGTAGGTTTAGTGGATGAATTAATTTTGTTCTTATTACTTCAGATAGGATTATTTTGCAAAATGCATTTTAAAGCCTATGCAATGACCCTTCAAACTGAAGAACTTAAGGACCAGTATTTCCCTCCTCCATTTTTTTCCCTTTCTTTATTAAACAAAACCAACATAAACAAAATGAAAAAAAAAATTAAAACAAAAACAACAAACCTGCAATAAACAAGGAAACACAAGAGATTACAGTTGACCAAGCCTGAGGTCCTACCCTTACCCACTGTGTTCTTATGAGTGAGATTGATTTAACATCTAGCTTCAGTTCCATCACCCCTAAATTGGTGAATGACTGCTGTGTAAGGTCCTCCTGAAAATCAAGTGCCAGGCTCCGGGAGGAAGTGTCCTTCCCAGTGACCCTCATAGGGCTGGATTTGCATACCACACTGGTTTATGTTCCCACTGAAGCACCTGCCCTTTCCCACCATGTCATCTGTTCTCAAGTACCTGCTGCTGTAGTAACTCTAGGTTTTTCCTCTTTTGACAGTACATGCGGATGATGGGGGTGTATCCAACCATTCATTTCCTGGCCTGGTTCTTGGAGAACATGGCCACGTTGACCCTAAGCAGTGCCGCCCTGGCCTTCATTCTGAAAACAAGCGGCATCTTCTTGCACAGCAACGCCTTCATCATCTTTTTCTTTCTCCTGGATTTTGGGGTGTCGGTTGTCATGCTGAGTTTCCTCTTGAGTGCATTCTTCAGCCAAGCCAATACAGCGGCCCTTTGTACCAGCCTGGTGTATATGATCAGCTTTCTGCCCTATATCGTTCTGTTGGTGCTGCATAACCAATTAAGTTTTGTCATTCAGACATTTCTGGTAAGTGAGTTGTTTTGTAAAAATGCAAAATAAAACAAAGCTGCTATCCACCCAACAATGCAAAACCATCACCTTCAACTCTTCAGTTTATCATGTTCAGATCTACATAGACTTTCTGATACCAACTTTCTTTCTTCTACCCAGAGACGCAGACCTTGCAGTGGTCGTTCACTGGGATTGCAGTGGCTTTGCTGGGTGGCAGCCCATTAAGAATTGACATTTTCATATAATGGGAACTCTTGGCAGATTGAGAAATTAATGGCATCCTTAAGGAAGCATATAACCTTAGTTTCTTTTTGTTTTATGCATGGAAAGAAATACAGTTGTGAAGCTATTTTAGAAGTAAAAAATAAGCATTTTTCTTGAAGCATAGTGAATTACATCACGTTAAGTGAAAAGATCTTTCCATCAGCAATGTCAGAGTCACTCATCCATTTAGAATGTACCTCCTGAAAAAGTATGAGAATACTTTCAGGTCTGTAATATAAAATATGTAGACGATAGAAATGAATTCATTCTCTTAATGACTCTTGCCTGGCAAGTGCAGTGCCTGACACGTAGTAGAAGCTCAGTTGGTGGGGAAGAAATGAGCACATCACTATCACATCGGTCTCTTTCACAGAGCCAGCATTACAGCCGTAATTATGTGCATTATGCTCAAGGCTTTACTTTCTCCAGCTGATCAGGTGACTTCCTCAAGTTGCAGTCTGTTGAGAGGTATGGCTGGGGTCACTAACAGGGACTTCGGGGTGATTTCAAGGAGAATTAGAATCACAGGGCTGCAATGGGGTATTTAAAGCCCTTTAAAAGTCCTTTCATCCAGCACAGAACCCATGACAGCCCCAGCGTATCAGCCACTCACAGGGAATGGTCATCTCTGCTCATTTAGATCCTTTGAGAAAAGTATTTCTGTGAAAGTCACATTATTTACCTCGAACATCAGTAAACCATGCAATGCTCTCTGGTTCCTGCCAGCCACATACAGACAACATAGGTGTGTGCATAATGACAAGTGGTTATATTCAATTGGTATTTTGCCCATTGGTGTTCATTTTTTTTGATTAGCTATGTCATACCTGTAATAACTCTTAACCGACAATTTTGTGTTCGTGTTAGTTATGTGTTTTCAGAATACTTAACACAAGTGGGACCATTTAGTTTCCTTCCCTCACATATTCTCCTCATGCATGGAAAGAAATACAGTTGTGAAGCTATTTTAGAAGTAAAAAATAAGCATTTTTCTTGAAGCATAGTGAATTACATCACGTTAAGTGAAAAGATCTTTCCATCAGCAATGTCAGAGTCACTCATCCATTTAGAATGTACCTCCTGAAAAAGTATGAGAATACTTTCAGGTCTGTAATATAAAATATGTAGACGATAGAAATGAATTCATTCTCTTAATGACTCTTGCCTGGCAAGTACAGTGCCTGACACGTAGTAGAAGCTCAGTTGGTAGGGAAGAGATGAGCACATCACTATCACATCGGTCTCTTTCACAGAGCCAGCATTACAGCCGTAATTATG